AAAAGAATGTTCCCATTTTTATTACTAATATTATTATTATTATTTCTGTTGTTGTTGATGGTGATGGTCTTATTATCATTATTGTTATTTTCATCACTGTTAGATTGCTGGTGGATCCGATTGTTGTTATTGTTGTTCATTCTTTGAGTTGGAAGTGTAATAATAATAGTAATAAATTGAATTAATTATGCGCCTCAATTTTGACACGGTTTTGCCGCCTTGACTACTCTCGTTCAAAAATTTAAATTTTTTTAAGTTTCTCGTTAAAATTTTTCATTAGAATTTCATGTTTCTTTTTCAAATTTATTTTATATCAACCTTCGTTTAGCGTGCAGAGACCCAGTTCCCCGAAGTAGGGCGTTGTTTTCTTTGCCGTCAACTTTTTGCGCCGAATAAGACGATTAGTTGTATCCATTTCATTTAAATTTAGAGTTTTCATGTCCTGCTCGATTGTTTGCGACCACGACTTCTTTGGACGGCTTTTGGGACGTGTGCCAGGTACTTCAACATCTGCAAGAGAAGTTATGGCACGGTTTCCACTTGGTTTGATATGACCAAACCACCGCAGACTGTGTTGCCGTCATTCATTCTTTATATCATCTAAACCAGCACGACGCAGGATTTCGGTAGATTTGATATGGTCTTTCAGACTAATTCGTTGCATCCATCTGAGCATTCTCATGTCGGTTCGTTGAAATTGTTGTTCCAGTTTGGTTTATATAGTAATACTTAAACTATAATAATACTAATTAACAACGTCTTCAATAATTTAAATAAAATGTTTGGTAATAAAAATAAAGTTTCAATTTTAAACAGACACAATTTTGTTGATAAAAATTTACTAAGACAAATTGAAAAATTCTAAAATAAGTTGATAAACACTAATGAATCGGTGGAATTTTTTACATATTGTCAAGAATTCGGTTTTCTACCAGCATATATATGTTGGAAGAAGACAATATTTTATACAGTATTGTATGAATTCTACCGAATTGTTGGCATTAACCAATTTAAAGTTTATCTTTTCAATTTTTTTTACTAGAATTTTCTGAAAATTGTTCAATTTGTTGAAAATAGAATTATCGAAGTTCGTCATGAAAGCAAAATGGAACTGTTGTTATCCGAATTCATCATACAGATTAGGCCTTATTTCTATTTTTCATAAATCAGGCGACTATTCTCTTTGGAGTAGATGGATTTTTTCTTGAGGTATGTTTTTATTGATTTTTTTTATTATTGCGTTGAGTTTAGTCTTTAAATGAAAAGTTTGGTCTTTTGTGATTGCTTGAAATTTTGTGCTGTCGTTGAGTTCGATTTTGGAGTTGTAGTCAAATTTGTCTAAAACCACAAATTGATTTGACTTGTCTGCACGGCAATTGACAATTTCTTCATTTATTAAAATTCTTTTGACATATATATTTATAATTTTTTCTTATATATATATAATATATATATATATATATATATATATATGCAATTATTGATGAAAATCGGATTAGTGTTATACCAATTGATAGGAGCATGTTCGGCGTTAGTTAACTTCCAATTTAACTTATCGATTTTTCTACCAACCGGTTGTTAACCGTATTTCAGCCTGCTTACAGACAAGGGTCTCCTACAGAAGCAGCTTTGCTGAAAGTATTTGGTGACATTACCAATTAGTTGGATAATGATACTGTTAAATTGATTGGCGGTTACTTTTTGTAATGCTATAATGGCTCTGGAATGGTTTGCTTCGTTTTTGATGGATCCAACGCAAAAAGTTGTGTTTAATAAATGGCGTCCCGCAGCATTCGTTGTTGGGGCCGATTCTATTTTTAATGTATGTTTCAGATCTGCCTAGTTTGGTGAATGAACATGGTTTTGGGGTTTATACGTATGCTGAGGATCTTCCGATTTATTTTGCTGGGATAATTTAAAAAGGGTTGATTAGATGTGTTGAGGACATGAATGATTGGCTGAATCTAAACAGTTTAATGGTAATCCTGATAAAACAGAGTAAATTTGGTTTAGATCCAAAAGGTTAGCCAAAATCGGTAAACAACTTTTGATGTTTTTAGTAATCGGTTGACGGTTATTTGGTAAGATGGTCAAAAACTTAGGAGTACTGTTCGACAGTTTATTAACTATGTTACTACATGCAGTGAAACTTGGTACAATATGTTTTTTTACAGCTGCGTAGATTCTATCAGACGAAAAAATATTTTCCAGCTGATATTTTTATAAGTCTTGTGGTATCATTTGTATTGTCAATGTTTGATTAATTAACTCGTTGATGTTTGGTGCTAGAGTTGGAGTGGTTAAGAAAGTTCAGCGCATTCAAAACGCTGCTGCAAGACTGGTTGTTGGGCTAGGTAGACGTGCTCAAATAACTTGGTGGTTGGAAAATCTTCATTGGTTGCCGGTGAGCGAAAGAATTTTTTACAAGATGGCAGTTATTGCTCACTGTTGAATTCATGGTGGCAGACCAGAATATTTGAAAAAAGTTTAGCTAGACATGGGACATGCTCTGCGATCGATTTCTAGTGAATTGAAATAGCCCCAGAACAAAGACGAAGCTGGGTGATATATGTATGCAAGTTGCTCAGCCAAAAATTTGGAACGATCTACTATTGTATCTTAAAGGAAATGTTTCAGTAACAAAATTCAAACAGGAAATGAAGACGCACTGGTTTACTAAAGCATTTAATTCACAAAATTTGAAAAATCTTGAAAAGAGAATTATATATATTAATAAATAAATAAATAGAAATATAAATAAATAATGGGCTCAAACGTAATTTATATATGCCCCTATCAAAATAACATTAAAAGACAACTAAAAGCAATCAAAAAACATTGTCAATTTTATGATCATCGAGAAAATCTTTGTTGGCCATATATAAGTCAAAATTCTTCTTGAAGTTGGAAACAGTATCTGATTTAACAACGCATGTCGGTAAATTGTTCCAAAGTAGAGATCACTCTGTTAGAAAACGAATACTTTCTTGTATTTGTATGAAACTTTTGAACATGTATTCTATAGCGATGCCTTCTAGTACATGGATCCGCATCAAAACACAAAGCTGGTGAAAAATTTCTATCTACCATATATACACGAATATTTATATGGCGCTAATTAAATAGTTTTTTTAAAAACGCTTACAAATAAAATAATATACAAAATAGCCGAAAACAAACGTTCGTCAAACAAATAAATCAAACATTAAATAAACATTAGATCAGTAAAAAATAAACATCAATGTTCGACACTACAGCGAAAATAAATATGTTTTCAACATCTTCTTATATTTCTCAACATCCAGAGAAGGGTCTCGCAGGTCTTTGGGAAGACCGAACACTCTAGGACCGAACACGGCAAAGCTTCTAGATCCAGGTTTCGTTTGAGTCAATGGGACCGACAGATAGTTTAAATCGTCCGAACGCAGGCCGACTCAACTTCACTATACTTCCCATACTTCACAATGTTGAAAATCATTAATATGTCTCCACAAACTCTTTTAAATCTTAAAGTTGGCAAGCCAAGAAACTTCAATCGGTCTGAGTAACAAAGGCCTTTGCAATCTCCGACTATCTTGATTGCCCATTTCTGAACTCTTTCCAATTCATCAATTTCTTTTATTTTTTAAGATTATTAATCAAAATAAATGACTCATTAGTTAAATTTTTAAAGTTTTTGTATAACAATCCTAAAAGAACAAAACGTTTATTAATGACATGATGTATTATATATACTTAGAGAAGCTCAGTGAACGTTCAAACAAAACCCCCAAATCGTTTACTTCACCACAAAAATCCAAGTTAGAATTATTAATATTATAACACCAATTATTATCCAAACATGAATAACCAAATTTTATAGCTGCACACTTTTCAGTATTCAAATCGATTTTCCATAGCATACACGAATAATACAATTTATCAAGATGTTTTTGTAGCATGTTTTTCTATGATCCACACATCTTATAAAATTAAATATTATATATATACAGTGTTGTTAAAATACTCACATGTTGAGTATTTAAATATTTTGCAAATACTTGGTCAAAATTCAGTATTTAAATAGTATTTAAAATACCAAATACTGCTACAAGTATTTAAATACTGGCTACAAGTATTTAAAAATTATTTTAAATACCATGCAGTTTTCGATTGATACTAAAATTTGCACTTTAATAAAAAAGGATCATGAATTAACATATTTTTTATTTTTTATACACCCACATCACATTTTTGTAAATCTCATAAATGTTTCCATTAGAAATGAAAAAAGAAATTAATATTTAAAATTCACCAATAATGTTGGTTAACTTTAAGGAGCAGTAATGTCTCAAAAAGATCAGCAGATTAACGATTACGCTGTTTAGTTAGAATAAGAGCACCTGAACTAAAAAGACGTTCAACTGGGGCACTTGAAGGCAATGCTGTGTTATATCTAATGAAAAATTGTTTAATTTTTAAATGTTTATCTAACATTTTTAAATTTTTATAATTAAGATACTGAAAATGTTGTTGCGATTGCTCTGTGGATAATTCATCATCAAAGTCAAAGAAAGTTTCTGTTTTACTGTCATTGATCCTGCTTTTATAAACTGGTTCTGATGTACTTGATGTAATAGTAGACAAGGACTGTTCTAAAAATTGCAGGCATTTCGCCCTGAGCTCAAACAGATTAGAGATTAGAACAATTTGCACAAACTATTATATAGTATATACACATCCCATATGTAGAATAAACAAAAAATATACAAGTGGAATAGATGATTGATAAAGCAATTTTTTGTCAAAGTATTTAAATTTTTAAAATACTAAATACCATGAAAAAGTAGTTAAATACTGTCTAAATACTGCCATTTTATTAAATATTTTAAATACTGGAGTCAGTATATAAATACAATTTAAGTATTTAAATACTCTAAATGCTTAACAACACTGTATATATATATATATATATATATATATATATATATATATATATATATATATATATATATATATATATGGGTTATATGGGTGAGAATTTCCGACCTGCTCCCGCAAATACGGTCGGCCAGTACGAGTATATGAAGTACACGATCTCTCACCCCGACCAATGGTGCATCCTTTATACGGCCAAACGATATTGCAGAAAGCTTGAGAGACTGTACAGAAGAACTTTGTCAAGTGTGCACCGTGAAAGTTGGGTTGGTTCATTGAAAGCAAAACATAAATTATATTCAGATAAAAGCACTGGGTATTGGAACAATTTGATCAGAACTCTTAGCAGCCAGAGAGACAAGTGGCGACGTACCTGTAGATTCAAGTCGACTCACAATATATATATATATATATATATATATATATATATATATATATATATTTACATTATTCTATAAATTCTACCGAATGTTTGGCGTATATATATATATATATATGTGTGTGTGTGTGTGTGTGCGTGTGCGCTTGTGCGTGTTTAGTTTTGCTTTTATTTTGCTTTTATCAAGCAAATTAAACTAAGATCTCTTTATATAAATTTATTTATGGGTTTGTTTAGTATTTTTTAGTTTGTTTTGCTTGAATTTTCTAAAAATTCAAAAAATCTTAGTTATTTTCATAATATTAATGTTTAAAAAAACTCTGGCTACTACCTAGGTTTCCAATTTCAAATTTTTGGGAAAATTACTACCGTTTTCACATATACGTATTAAGCAAAATAGATATTTAGATAAAAAAATACGTATCAAAACATAAAATGGGATGCTAATTGTATTCATAAGGGTAGATATGTAAAAGTTATTAGGATGAGTAAAATTTTTATTATTGCAAAAAAATTTTAATTCATATATACTTATTTTTATTATACTATTTGCATGTCAACAACATTTTTTAAATAATGCAATTTTAATATCAAAATAACTATTACTTTTACAAAATTTTAATTTTGTCCACCATGCACACATAAAATAACATGTCAACGGTGACGTTTTTTATAAACCACAAATTGTTAAAATTCTTTGGTTGACCACCATGAAAAAAATTAAACTTTTTCACAACGAATCATGCGACTGTATTATATGTCGGTGTTAGACAAGAGAGTAGAAATCAACCATTTTTCCTTTTCAAATTTATCAATTAATATCTATGATTAATTAGGACCCTCTACGGCTATTTTGATTTGAAATTGTTTTGTTAAATTTTGAAATTTAGACAATTCAGGAGAAGTTTGTTTTTTATAAATAAATTATTATTTGCTTAAATATCTATGTATGTTCAATCTATGTTTATGTATGTTAATGAAATAGAAATAAAAAATAATTGAATGATGAACTGATTACATTAACGATCTTTTTGATGATAACCGTGGTGAAAAAACTTTTATTAAAAAATACGTAGAAGGACCAAAGATACTTAGATCTGAAGTTCGTGACGCTCTTTCAAAAATGATATCAAATAAAGCGCCAGGTCCAGATGAGATTGATCCAAATGCCTTGATGAATTTGGCATTGAAAAAATTACGGAAATTTTGAATAAGATTTATAACAGCGGCGAAATTCCTGAAAATCTATCCAAGTCAATATCTATTGCATTGCATAAAAAACCTAATGCAACAGAATGTTAACTACATCGAACAATCAGCTTGATGAGTCATCTTACAAAACTTCTTGAAAATTCTGATGATGATGATGACGAAGCAAATTAAGATTTGAATTTTCAAATGTTCAATGTGGTTTTTGTCGAAGATTGTGGCACAAGAAACGCTATCTTTAAGCTACGAATGATCAGTGAACGAGCGATTGAAATGAAGTAAGACTTGTTTATATGTTTTGTCGATTACTCCAAAGGCTTTTGATAACGTGAAACACCTGAAGCTTATGGAAATATTGAAGAATTTAGACATTGATGGAAAAGACACGAAAGTTATTAAAAACCTCTATTAAGAACAAAGAGCAGCAATAAAAGTTGGTAACAAGATAACTAGTTTTGTCGAAATAAAGAAAGGTGTTAAGCAAAGCTGTGTATTCTTTCCAGACCTGTACAATCTCTATAGAGAGATCATCATGAGAAATATAGAAGATATACTGGGAATACCCATTGGAGGCCTGAATATAAGAAATGCTGATGATACAGCTCTTATAGCAGATTCAATGGAGAAATTGCAAACAATTGTTTCCAAACTGGTCTTTGAAAGTAAAAGGAAAAGTTTTCAAATTAACATCAACAAAACAGAGTGCAGAGGTTATCAGTAAAAACAAAACCGTCCCAATTTGTTCCATATCATTAATGGTAAACAAGTGAAACAAGTCAACAGCTTCAATTATCTTGGAAATCTGATTACCTTAGGTTGTAAATGTGATTTGGATATCAAAAGAAGGATAACTACGGCAAAAGATGCATATTTCAGAATGAAAAACATCTTCACCAACATTAAAATCAGAATACCAACAAAGTTAAAACTGTTAGGGTGTTACATGATTTGTGGTTTTTGAGAAAAAATATGAAAATTAGTTGGTCCTCTCATACTTAGAATGAAGATGTATTAAGTTATAAAAAGAGGAAATTACTACAGATAATACGACGGGGGCAGTTAAAGTTTTTTGGTCACATCCTTGCGTCATGCAGAAGAAAAGAATGGAAAATCTAACAACTACTGGAAAGATTACAGGGAAAAGAGATCGCGGTCCACAACGAATAACATTCGTGAAGTCCTTTTATCACTTGTTAAATATCACCACATTTCAACTACTACAAAGTTTTAAGATTGGGTTTCGTAGAGGTCGATGGTCGCCAATGTTCTGAAAAGATAAGGCACGAGAAGGAAAGAAGTATGTTCAATCCTGTTTATTTTATAATTTTATTTTTTTTATATAATTACCATTTTTGGTTATTATTTTTGGATTATCTTTGATTTTAATTATTACACATTAACTTCAAATACTTTATATCGATTTATCCATTTTAACATCAACAAAACTGAGTGCAAAGGTTACCAGTAAAAGCAAAACCACTCGATCTGTTCCAAAATTAATAATGGCAAACAAGTAAAACAAGTCAACATCTTTAATTATCTCGAAAGTCTGATTACCTCATGTTGTAAATGTGATATGGATATCAAAAAAAGGATAGCTGCTATAGCGAAAGATGCATATTCTAAAATGAAAAACATCCCCATCAACAGTTAAATCAGAAAATCAACAAAATTAAAACTGTTAGCGTGTTACATTTTTTCTGTGATCACTTACGGCTCTGAGTCCTAGATGATTTTTAAAGAAATAAAAATGTACCGCTATTTTTGGAAAGAATTTTAAAAATTAGTTGGACCTCTCATACTTCCAATGAGGATGTATTAAAACAGTCCGGTTATGAAAAGTGGAAATTATTACCGGTAATCCGATGGGCGCAGTTAAAGTTTTTTGGTCGCATCATGCGGAAGGAAGGGATGGAAAATTTGACAATTACTGGAAAAATTGCAGGAAGAAGAGATTGCGGTCAACAACGAATAACATTCGTGAAGTCCTTGAGTCACTTGTTGAATATCAATACGTTTCAACTACTGCACAGTGTTAATGTAAATTAATTATTATTATTATTATTATTATTAATATTACTGTTATTATTAATATTATATTAAATTATATTATAATAAACTAACGCCAATCTGCTCAGATGGGGAAAGACACACGATTCCCTATGTCCTCTTTGCGGCGCTCAACAAACTAACAAACACGTTGTGTCCAACTGTGGATCTGTTGTCGCGTTAGCAAGATATACTGAACGTCATAATAAAATTTTATCCGAGATCGTCAGTTGGTTAAAAACATGTCGACAGCCGGACTGCCGGATATTCGCTGATATCGTCTCGGAGGGAGTCCTGCCAATATCGCAACTGTTCGACACTCTTCGTCCAGACATCGCCATTTTGCGCGACCACAAGATTGAAGTCATCAAATTAACGGTGTGCCATGAAACAAATCTGATAAAATCGAAAAATTACAAACAATCGAAATACGAAAATAACTTGAAATTGTGTTTAAAGGCTGACTTTAAAAACAGTTTAATTGTTTTGAAAACATTTGAAATCACCCCGATTGGCTTTTTTAATGTTTTAAACTTGTCTCTAATTAAAAATTCATGGCCGATTACATTTATTAACAAATTAACTTATACAGTTATTAAATCGACGTATGCCATTTATTGCGATAGAAACAATCCGTAACCAATTTGAATATTTTACCGTTTTGCACTTGTCATAGATAATGAGCATTGTGGCTTTATTGAATATTATTACATTAGTATATATTTTAATTATTCTATTTTCTTTCATTCATTAGATTGACTTTGATTGAAATAAAAGAGTTTCCATTATTATGCTCAGTAACGGATCTAGACAACTTTGACGGGGGGGCCAAAATTTTGGAAATGTTTAAAAGTTTAAATTTTTTTTCAAATTTGGACAGGGGGCCAAGATTTGTGGTAGCGTGGCCAAAATTAGGCTTGCGTCCTTTTTTGATATAAAATGGTTTTTTTTATGCAAAAGCTGAGTTCTTTTAATAAATATACTGCTCATAACTGGGCGATGGTCTCTCTGGCCTTACCCCAAGATCCGTCACTGAATGTATTTATATAATACATATACATTCAATGGCGGATCTTGTACATTCAGTACTTTATTTCAATAGCGCTTTAAAATTTCCCTGATTGTTATCAGAATTGAGATCTAATGCACCGTCATCCCGGTGTCCACGCAAAGCAAAATTTAGTCTTCCACAAAGTTCAGTTTCAATAATAGTGTTAAACAATTTTCTATTTTGCTCTATTTTTGTGGAAAGAGCGGAGTTTGATAACTCTAAAACATTAGTTTTATTTTTAATCAAACTCAGAAACATTTCTGATTTTTCTGTAGCCTCTCTATAAAAAGATGTAGCTTGATGACAGCGACATTGATCTAAAGCTGATTTATAACGATTTAAAGGTGATTTAGCAAATACTCCGACTGAGCCACATCATGGATGTCGATATGCATAAAGTACACAAAACCTGCAGAATGTTCCTTTTTTCAAATCAAAATAAGACAGCCAGGAAAAATCTTGAAACCAATAGAATTTAAAAAACCGTTTTCTTTTACCTTTCGACACAAATGGAAATTTATAATTCTCGTCAGGTTTCCATGGATTTTGCAAAAGATCATATCTTAAATCATTCGAAATGCTTGGAATTTTTGCAGTTGCATATTGTTCAATATCTAAAGGTATTGTTCCATTTGAAAAACTTTGACATAAATTACCAGTTTTGTCTGAAACATCAGTCATGTCATCGTTTAAATTTAATGAAAGGCCTTCTTCCAAGACATCAGATTTTATAATTGTAAAAAAAATGTTGAGATTAAATTTTTTAATTTCCTACCAGACCTGAATGGTTAAATACTATAAATTAATTCAAGTCTAGTCAAGTAATGACTGTTACGCATTAACCCTAACCCAAAAAATGTTTTTATTATTCAGCTTGTTGCTAATTTTTTTAGTTGAAGATACAAAATTTTAAAAGACATTTTTTTTAATTTTAAAACGAATTCAAATTCAAACTGATTTTATGAAACACAAAAAAATAATATAAGACGCGCCAAAACGTAAATGGAATAAAATATGAACTACGACCAAACCTAAAATTATGAAAGGACAGTGTAGCTGGTTTTTAGCGGCAAGATTGAGACGTAGACACAAATCAGAAAAATTTTATTCTGTAAACTGAAAACTATACCAAATAAATATACAATGTCAATAAAGAAAACCAAAATAAAAGTTAAAGTTCGAGGTTAGTATGCAGACATGTTCCTGCCAGTGCTGTGATCACGTACGAGCGGATACTGTTTCAACTTCTTCACTTGACAACAATGTAGAATCCTTCGAACACTGGTGTTATGTGGGGTTGACTTCTTCGGTTCCAGCCGTCTTCTGTACCAATATTGCACAACCTGTGCTTTACCCAACCGACAAACGTTGTTTTTACGTTGAAAGGCAACTACTTCGTTCGCCACCCTCCAACGCAACAGATAACTACTTCGTTCGCTACCTTACGTTTGTCGTCGTTGAGCTCGTAACAACCTCGTACCGTATTTCCAGCTCTTCCTTATAACCACTGACTAACTACCACCCACGTACCAACAAATGAAACTTTTCCCAATTGCTGCTGTTGTGAGCTACCTCATATCGTCCAACATTTCTTTTATTGTTATTACTATTATTGTTGTGAACTGTATGGGTACCAGCTTTGTTAACCTCATGTGATCTAACAATGCTTTCATCATTACCCTTATCATCATTTTCACTGACACGACGTTTGGCTGCATCAACATCATCACGCCTATCAGATCTAACAATGCTCTCATTCCCCAACTTGATTGGTGTGATATTCTTGGTCATCTCGAGTTTCACGGCAGGTACCAGATACTGTTCTGTCATCTTCAACAATTCCACCACCTTGGGTGTAATAATTAACTGTTCGCTGGCATTAGGTACCACTGCACACCATACTCGTACATCCCTTAATCCTCAAACGTTCCCCTCTGGGTATGTTTAACTTGTGACATAAGTTTTGAGAAATTCCACATACTTCTGCTCCACTATCTACCAATGCTGCACAGGTCAGACCAGCTTGAATTTTAACCTGAACAAATGGTCTTTTGAAGTATTTTTCAGCCTGTATGGTCCCAGGAGTAATACCTGGTTTCTTCAACTCCTTTGTGGCCCGAGACATAGCAATGACCTGGCATTTTATGAGCTTCTTGATGGGGTTATGATTTGTTTTCTGGGTACAAAATTTAGCAAGATGTCCCCGACTACCACAGTGATAACAACCTACCTTTGATATTGATTCTTTTACAACCTCTTTGTTGAGCCATTTGGGATCTGTTCCGAGACGTACAGCCGTTTGAAGTGGTTTATAGCCTGAGGCTACATTACTAGACAGTCTCATGTTCATGTTAGCTTCATATATCTCCACAACATTGGCCAGACGTTCGTGGGTTAACCATTCCTCACCTTCCTGAGCTAATACATGTTTTTTGGCAACAATTCCTTCATTCTGTCCACGACTAGCAATGAAAGTGCTTGATTACTTCATAATTTAGATAATCATCAGTTTTAATCTCATTTAGTACTGTTTTCATCTTTGTTTCCAAATTAGCCAGTAACAAATCTGCTCGCAATTCCTCACTAACTCGATGGCTGTCAAATATTCCTTCGATCCTCTGAAAATATGCTGCAATTTCACGGGGAATCATAGGACACATTCCTAACATTGGACTGATTCTACGGATTATACTAGCAGTATGGTCTCCTTGCTGAGCATTATTATTCTGACTCCTCAACTGTATGTCAGCTTCTCTACGTTCCCTCATATCTTTCTCCATCTACCTTAATTTCCATCTTACTTCTTCAGCTGCTGCTTCCTCTGCTCGTCTTTCAGCTCTTTCCGCTGCTTGTTTTCTGCGTCGTTCCTCCTTTTCTGCTGCTTCCATCATAATCCGAATTTGAGTTGCCTGCCCGGGATCCAACGTTATCTCCTCATCACCCTCTTTCATGCCTTTGTCTTTCGACCGTAAATTGTGGGCCATCTTTACCAACTTTACCAAATAAATATACAATGTCAATAAAAAAACCAAAATAAAAGGTCGAGGTTAGTATGCAGACTTGTTCCTGCCAGTGCTGTGACCACGTACGAGCGGATACTGTTTCAACTTCTTCACTTGACAGCAATGTAGAATCCTTCGAACACTGGTGTTATGTGGGGTTGACTTCTTCGGTTCCAGCCGTCTTCTGTACCAATATTGCACAACCTGTGCTTTACCCAACCGACAAACGTTGTTTTTACGTTGAAAGGCAACTACTTCGTTTGCCACCCTCCAACGCAACAGATAACTACTTCGTTCGCTACCTTACGTTTGTCGTCGTTGAGCTCGTAACAACCCCGTACCGTATTTCCAGCTCTCCCGTCTAACCACTGACTATGTCCTACCCTCAATAACACCGAATAATACCTTACCAACCAACAGCTACTTCACCAACCACGGTTGCGTGTCCAATTTCTCACCAACAAAAACGCCAACTCTACCAACTAATTTTCTACAATAAAAATAACTAACTCTACCAACCAATTTTCTACAATAAAATAAACTTTTTTTTCTGTCTGACGAGACCAGCCTTTATTTACCCGACGCGCCGTCCTACCCCGCAGCAATAATATAATTAAAATGAAGCGGCGTTCAACATCCACCCTTGAACCGTGACAGACAGACTATAAGACTTAAGTAAAGACTATAATATTTTTTGATTTACTTTTTGTTGATATTAGTTTTTAATAAAAGAAATAAACTAAGAAAACATGAATTATTTTTTTGTGCCGCAAAACACTATTTAAGTTTAAAATATGAATTATATTCTGAAATAAACTTGTATCAAGTTTATATAATAAATCAGCGTTATTTTTTATTGTTTAAAAAGTCGATCTCAAAAATTTTTTTTTATTTAACGCTGTCTTGAATTGAACTGATGATAACGGCCCCCCCCCCTTAATCCGCCACTGATTATGTTATTCATTCTAATGACATTCCTCAGAGGATAGTTCTATGATTAAATGCTTTGTTGAAAAAATAACTTTTTAACTCTCTTCTGAAATCTTTTTTTAGAACAATTCGCTACAATCTTGTTCGAAGATCATTCCATACCTTGGGCTGAGCAACCGGCATACATCTGTCACCCAGTTTTGTCCTGGTCCTAGGAATTACCATCATTTCTGACGAAACCGAATGCAATGCATGTCCCACATCAAATTAGGAAGTGTGAAGTAATTAAAACGGTTGTAAATTCATAAATGGACGTGACACTGTCATTTGACACATTTACAAACAGATCGGTGGTTATATAAACAACGTAGAAACGGAATTTGAGAGAAAGGAGGACAGGGAAAAAGAAGACGAAACACAGTTGACGTAGAAGTCGTAAATGTGATTTACGTAGTTATTTGGATTACACACTGGTGACAGAAGTAAGATTCTCTGCAGTAAAGAACGCTTGGACTAGAAAAACTCAATATAATTAGTCTGATTAGAGAAGCTTAATTATTGACAATTGGTTGTATTCCGGGATTTACCTGTTTATTAGTTATTGTGCTGTATTGTAACGATTTTAACGATTAAATAAACGAGTGATTGATCACAGCAATACACACAAGTGATTGCCAGCCCTGTTTTCTTTATAATAAAGTTCATAAGAAATAAGACTGTTCGGGAGTCAAGAATCCACGTAGAGAGAAATAACTGTACCCTAAAAGTTCAAGGGGTCGGTTATAGTAACAATATTTTCTATGAAGAGTTTTTCATTAAGTGATTTTAATCTATATTCCTACAGCAAATAGCTTAAAAATATATAAACCTTATTATTATAAATTTATTAAGGTGTCAGTGGAACACAAACAAAAACACTGTCAAGTTCAACGGATGAGTCACATCTGAGTTCAAAAGTTGAACTGATTAGTACTTAGGATATAGGATATATAGCCAGAAATGTGATTTGATTTGATTTCACGGTTGCTGGAAACTTTTTTTAACTTGAAAACCATACAATTATTTATTTATTTGATTTTCTACACAAGCTTAATTTTTACATAATTTAAAAATTAAATTCATGGAAAAAATTTTTTAATCATGTTAATATATATAATATCATGAATGTTGGACAAGATTCAACAATTTGATTTTAAAATGTAATTAATAAAAAATATAAAATGTTAAAGATATAATTTCATTTACTCTTGACTAATTAAGTTATATCTACCCGTGCGATTTTTAATCTTGCTGCGGACCAAATTGATCAAACTGCTCTTTGACTTGTAATTGTTCGTTTGAGTGTTCATCCTGTCTGGCACGCCACCTGGTATGCAGTGCTCCATGGCGCATTGAACATCTCCAGAGCAACAAAGTGGTTCTTCAACGATCATTGGACCAGTCCAACTTGATAAACTGAAACGTTTAGGCACGTGAACATTTTGCTGAGTGATTGCTTCAACCTGGTCATTGGGAATTATCTGAAAATTGTGATTTGGACGGTGAGGTTTAAATGATGCATTGAAATCGTCATTTTCGTCAACTATAGCAATACCCACGTCCAACCCTTCAAATATTTTTCTGTTTGCTGGTGCTGGCTGATCATCACTTTGACATTTTATCAAGGAAAATAACAGCATCATTAACGTCCATCTGGTTAATTTTTGTTGATGCATCTCTAAATTATTTCTTTTTTGAAATATTAAATGTGTTTATACAACAAACGGCATATTTAAGCTAAAGCAGATAAATTCTTGAAAATTTTCTTATCTATTTATACATATGAGGATATTTGAAAGCATTCTTATCACGCGTTTTATCTTTTGTCAAAGTTTGTTAACGAACATCGCGTGTTTTATGGAAAACTCTTCAAACAAGATGTTTTTTGTTTATTAGTTGCGAATAAATGCATACACAGCATTCGAATCACGCAGATATCGCGTGTAATACATCAAAAAATATAGCAATGTATGCAGGAGTAAAAATTAAGCAAGAAAAACATTTTCAACATCAACAACACAATGTATCATTATATGTCAAACGAAATGAGTTACGATATCGATTTGCAACACATTAAAATGAAATGCAACCGACACGTCGTCGTGCTTTAAAAAATCACTTTATCAAAATTTCTTTCATTTGTCTTGAAGGGGTTGTTTTCCGGTAGCTCAATGGCACATATACATGATATGCTAATGACATTTCAACAGCACATATGCTAAGTATTTCTTAGCAGAAATTATGCGGGCAGCATATATGAATATTAATGACTTATTAGCGCAATTAATATAGTTAATTAAAGATACTACAATAAATAATTAATAAGTTACCATACAATTGGCAACTTTGTAACTCACAGACATACGTTTATTAATCCATATAAAGCCAGGCCTCCTAATAAAGAATTTGTATACAACGAATATCTCTATATAAAAATCTTTACTTTTACATATAAAATTGTTTCCATAGAACGAAAAATTTCTCTATAACGAACATTATTTATAAAAGTGAAAAAAATATTCGACAATTCAAAAAAAATAATTGTTGAAGATAGTAAACATAAAGTTACATTTTTGCGTATTATGCATTTTGCTATATACATATTGTGCGTTTGCGCTAATGTATGACTGCTCTGTTGTAAGAGGACACCAAACAAGGAAGAGCCGTGTGTTTTTATCAAAAAAGGTTTATATCAAAGGGGTAACCCTCGATACTTCGATTATGAATGATTGTGCTGTTTTAAGAGAACACTCAACCATGAAGAGCAGTACGCAGGAGTGAAAAGAAGAAAAAATAATGTTTGTTTGGACAGACTGGACACGTGTTTCGTCCCTACCGGACGCCTATCAGAATCACGTCGCATGGGGCTGTTCATAAAGAATGTCACGCTTTTTTAACGTTTTTTTGAACCCCCCTTCCCCGTGTCACAAACTGTCACAAATCGACCAACCCCACAAAAATAAGCATGTCACAAAACTTTACCCCCCCCCCCCATCGCTGTTTACAAAGTTCGTCAAGTCTTGCTTTTTGATTGAGCTAATTATAATGTTTTGTCAAATCAATCAATCAATCAATCAATTAGCTTATAAAGCGGTATTTCCGCGATGTTCAACCGCTCCTCAATGAATTTTGAAAACAGATGGGTCTTGAAAACCGCTCTGAACTTCGCAAGTGATGGAAAAGAAGTAGGTAGAGAGTTCCTGAGAAAAGGACCAGAAAAAGCAAAAGCAGATTTGGCACGAGTTTAACACGAGTTAAGAAAAAGCGAGAACAAGAAGACGATCGTAAACCGGGGCGTTTAGGTTCAATTAATATATCTGATAAATACTTAAGAAATAATTTAGATTGAGACTTATACATAAACGTGCAAATTTTAAAAATTATTCTATATTTTATAGGTAGCCAGTGCAAGAGAACAAGATATGAAGATATATGAGAAAAGAAAGGGGCACGAGCAACTAGACGAGCAGTAGAGTTAAAAGCTTTACTTAAAGGATAGAGTAAAAAGTCAGGAAGACCATAGTAGAACGAGTTACAATAATCAATCCTAGATAAGACTAACGAAGTAACAAGAAGGAGAAGAGTAGGATCATCAAGAAAAGGCAAAAGTTTTTTTATTCTACGTAGATGAAAGTAAAAGCTTCTAGCAACACTATTAATCTGAGAAGAGAGAGACATAGTAAAATGAGAGATAAAACCTAGACTACAAAACTTATAAAAGACATCAAGAGTTTTAGAATCAGGCAAGATAATAGGAGAAATAGTAATAGAGTGTTTAGATTTATTAAAACAAATTAATTCAAACTTAGAAGGATTAAGTTTAAGACACAGAGTCAGACTAAGCGATAATTGAAGAAAGACATAGAGATAGATTATGAAGAACACTATTGAAATTAGATGAGGGAAAAGAAGTATAAATGTTAGAACCATCAGCATATAGTTGACTAGAGAAAGAAAAGTTATTAATAATACGAGGTAGTTCAGAAGTATAAAGTATAAATAGAAGAGGGCCAAGGATAGAACCCTGAGGTACCCCAAAAGTAAGGGTAGAAGAGAAGTAAATTATTGAGAACAACAGAAGAAAAACGATTACAGAGATAAGAAGAAAACCAAGAAAGACAAAAATCAGTAATATTAAAAGAAAGATGTAGCAGTCTCAAAAGAATAGTATGATCAACAATATCAAACGCCGAGGAAAAGTCAAGAGCAAGAAGAAAAGTAAGATTACTATTGTCACTAATGTCAAATATTAAAAGTTTTTTTATTTAACTTTAATAAACTTCATCAAGATGATAAGTCTCGTTAGAAAAATTGAGAAAATCAACTACAAGTTGAATAATGCCGAAAAAAGAGTGATCTTTATAAATAATTATATATATATATATATATATATATATATATATATAGAAGATATGCAATCAAATTATTTATTCATCGTTTGTCGATCACCTAGGTTTAAGTGTACAGGTGCAAAAATATTTCCCACCGACTTCATTGAATTCTTCGAGGCACCAGAACAATGAATGAAACGCTCGAACAACAACAATTCAAACATGACTGGGTAGCACAAAATATGTTACACATCAGCACGAAGGTAATGTTCGCGACGGTTTTAACTCAGCGACGATTAAGCATATGTAAAAGGCAGATTATGAAAAAACCGATTAAATAATAAATATTTAAAGGTTTAATGAAATGAAAAAAGATTTATTATTGTTTTTTATTTGTTATTTATAACATTTTAACTTTATTCAGATTAAAAATTGCATAAAACAATAAAAAAAACTTCATCATAAAATCGCTATATATTAAGATACCAACGATAAGGAGAAAGTAAAAAATCGCCAAAAATTTATTTATGTATGCATCTGAAATATATTTGCATTTTTTGATAGACAATTTTATTTATAAAAATACCATATATAACAAAACTATCTCCCGTTTTGTGCACATTCTCAAAAATTCGATTGAACGCGTTAACCCTACATTTCCAAATTTGCGTTATCGGTAACGAGAAAGTTAAAAAATCGCCAAAAATCCATTTATGTGTGCATCTGGAAAATATTTGCATCTTCTAATAGACAATTTTATTCCCAAAAATAACATATATAACAAAACTATCTCCCGTTTTTTGCACATTTTCAAAAAATTGATTGAACGCGTTAACCATACATTTCCAAATTTGCGTCATCGATAACGAAAAAGTTAAAAAATCGCCAAAAATCCATTTATGTGTGCATCTAGAAAATATTTGCATATTCTAATAGACAATTTTATTCCCAAAAATACCATATATAACAAAACTATCTCCCGTTTTGTGCACATTCTCAGAAAGTCGATTGAACGCGTTAACCATACTTTTCCAAATTTGCGTCATCGGTAACGAGAAAGTTAAAAAATCGCCAAAAATCCATTTATGTGTGCATCTGGAAAATATTTGCATATTCTAATAGACAATTTTATTCCCAAAAATAACATATATAACAAAGCTATCTCCCGTTTCGTGCACATTTTCAAAAATTTGATTGAACGCGTTAACCCTACATTTCCAAATTTGCGTCATCGATAACGAGAAAGTTAAAAAATCGCCAAAAATCCATTTATGTGTGCATCTGGAAAATATTTGCATATTCCAATAGACAATTTTATTCCCAAAAATAACATATATAACAAAGCTATCTCCCGTTTCGTGCACATCCCCAAATATTGGTCTGTACGCGTTACCCATAAATTTCTATATTTGCGTCAACGGTAACCTTGGTACACCTCTTCTTCAACTGCACTACTTAATAGATGCACCGTGCAGTTGGTTTACATCATGCAACTAACCTCTTTTCTTTCTAAAGCATTGTAGTTACTTGTTATTATGCTCTGTAGGTTTTGTAAAGATTCATCGTTGCCTTTGGGACCATTTTCAGTTAACCCTAAAAAGCATTTATTCTTCCAGAATAAGTCAATCTGTGAATTTCAATTTTTTATTGATATCACTAGTTTTTTACATTTTCGATTGGTGAAGTTATTTCTCTGTTTTAGGCTCCTGCAAGCTTGCCCAAACCAACCCTGTTCATTCAAACTAGACTGTAATTTAATAAAAATGTTATTTCGTATAAAGAATAATATGCATTGCACAGTAATTGAACTATAGTTCTTTAACGCGTGAACATTTAAATTCAAAAAAAAAACAAAATATGTCTTTTATTTTAGCTAAAAATTAACAAATTCTAATGGAGTTGCAGCAAAAAGTGAAATTTAAACATTTTAAACTGAAAAAAATTTTGTGATGACCATGAAGATGACTATAATGTGAATAGTACAGATTGACAAGCGTATAAATTTTAACTATATATACGAGGTAAAATATAATAAACTGTAGTGTTTTTGCGACAGACAAATTAATATAGCATATTTATAAAATATAAGTTTTAGCTTTAATTTAAATGTATGAAAACACAAAAAAATATAATAATACGTTATAATAATAAAAAAAAACGTATAGCACCAAAAAAGTGCAAACCCAAGCGAATGAATAAATAAATATATATATATATATATATTTACCAAGTATTACTTGCCCACGGATTATGATATCTATATATATGTGTGTGTGTGTGGTGTGTGCTGAAAATCATAATGTTATGTGTATGAATTGGTAATTGCACGCTACAGGTATCAATATTGCTAACAGATATAGTTATCGTAACATTTATTTTTGCGGCTTCGTACAATTTTTAGTTATAAAAACACCTTGAGTAACTCTTCTCTGCCTATACCTTTCGCTATTTCTTGCTCCAAATTAACAGTAAAAATTTGTCGATTACGCTGAGCTTTTAACAATGGACATATGCCTCCATTTGACTAATTTTGATTTGACGCAGAATCATAAAAATACACATTTCATACACAATAATTAAAAATAAAACTAAATTTTTTCAATTATTATCACATTCATAACATTGTACAAAATAACTGCCATATTAAAATAATCTGGATACCAAGTCACATAGGTATTCTTGTCAATGAAAAGGCCGATCAATTAGCTTTAACAGCCCACAATGAACCCATACTAAATACAGCAATGATTTACTCAGACATTAAATCAATAATAAATAAATATATATACACATTATGGCAATATATATACACAACTCATCAGCGCTTTCATTACAACAAAATAAACATTCATTTATCATGTTATCGGAATTAGCAATCACATCATCAAATATTTTTATTCTACATCTTATTGGATCAAATTCGTTTCCAATTGGTTTGCTTTTATCTAACGTGTCCATGACCATGTAGATGAAAATTCCACAGTTGTGGCCATTCATCTGCTTTGGCAGTTCATAATGCGCTTCAAAATCGAAATTTTCCCATGATTGTTTGTTAATTCTTTGGGACATACGTTTAAATCTTTTTTTCAAATTGTTTGATTTGCAAAATAGATGATCCAAGAGGGTTATAGAAAAATATTTTGTTTAGATTATTATCTACAGTTATTAAACAGTAATGATTGTTGTTGATGACGAGTGGGAAAAATATGTAATTAGCATTAAAAGAATATTGGAAGATGGGGCTAGAACAAGTAAAATTTTTAAACATTACAGTAGTGGACAAGTCACAAGGTATATAGATTGAATTTGTAAACCAGTGAGACAAATAATCTAAAAGAACGCTACTTACCCATTTTTCTCCAATAACAGTCTGAAAATCCGAAAGCAACAACCTATCATTTTCTTTTTTGGCAATGTAACAATTTCTACTGACTATTTGCTCGTAATAGCATTTGTTGCTCGGAATGTTGGAATTTGTTATACAGATGTTGCTGTGGCCATTTGCACTTTGATCATTGCTGCAAATTATTGAGGGTATTTTAACGGTAACTATGCTGTTGAAATAACTTTTGAAAGGTTTACGTTTCCCCCAATAATTTTTCTCACATTCTTTTACCACTGTTTTTATTTTTCTTTTACGAGAAGCGGGTATTTGCAGTAGAATTTCTTTCGTACGCGCATCAACATGGTTTTTTAACAACTCCGCAAAACGACCTATTTTTAAATTTGTCGATCCATTTAGCAATTGGTGTTTAATAAACCTAAAACAATTTTCAACTTTGCTATTGCTTGTTCGTTCCCCGTTTTTATTCAAAAGAACTGTCCAAAGAGGCAAAATCGAAATATATTTTTTTAAAACAAGTTTCGCGAAAGTTTTATTATAATATTCGTTTGGCTCCGTCTGTTCATCGTTCACCAAACGCAATTGGTAGTTAACATGTTCAAGAATTTGTAAGCCTTTTCGATAAAATGGGCTACTTTCGTAAATTGTCTCCAATTCATTAACTTCATTATCGTCATCATCGTAAACGTGTTCAATTAGATCGTAATGACTTACTTCATTGATTGTTGATTCATGAAACTCATCAAAATGACTATTTAAAGATGGAGTTTTTTTTAACGAACATGTAATATGAAAGAATGAAGTAATTAAATTTATCATGCGTCTATAACTTTTGGCTTGCAGTATTATGCTAAAGGCATTTATATAAAATTTAACAACCTCTTTTGTACTAAAATTTTTTTTGACAAATCGAACTATGTTTTTAAAAAAGTGCGCGCAGCAAAGCTTTATCATTATTTGATTTTTTGGGACACATTCGCTAATACACCATTTAAATGCCATTGCCAGGTAACCTCTCAAATCAACTCCAATCCAACCAGTTAAAACGGCATTTATCATTGCCATTGAGTGGTCTGTAACCACGTTCATAAAAATTGGCCAGGCGTTTACCTTTTTTATGACGTATCTTTTAAAATTTATCAAATGATAAGCAACTGAAGCTGTGTCATGGCGATCGCTTATAAAATCAAAAATTTGAGCGTAACCCGCATCAAGACCTACTACGGCGCTGTATAGATATATAGTTTGTTTGCTATGAAGACGACGAACCACAGACCCCGTTGAATCTAAATGTATTGTTGGTAAGTCTGTCTGACCTAATCTCAAAATAACTTCAATTTGGTCGTCGGAAAAAAAAGTGGCATAAAATGGAACGGCTGAAACTGCTTGTATATAAATTTCATCCGTTTTTGGAAATTTTTGACATTCTATTAGATCAATAACGTCATCTTTTGCCTTATCGCCTGCAGCCATAGCCTCACATCTCACATTTTTAAATACCCCCAACGAATGAATATTTTGTAGATTCCCCTGTTTTATTAATGCAGCATTAGAGGATCTTATAAATTTTTCACGTAAAACAGACGGATGTTGCAATATTAACTGTTCATACAAGTTTTTTCTACGTTGGCCTCTTAGTTGTCTTACTAATTTTCCATTATGGTTATAATTGGTAGACGATGTATAAATATCAATTTTGTTATGACTAATATTTACCTTAAATAATCTGCACATCTCAAATTTACATGTGAGATAAATAATGTAACGCGAACCAGTGGCGTCACTAGGGGGGTGCGGACCGCACCGGGTGAGACCCTCACAGGGGGTGACACCAAAATATCACTGTATATGTTTTTATGTCCCTCCATGAAATTATTCTTATCATTAATTCAGCCTAACCCAGAAATGTATTATGAATAAAATTTTTTTCGTTCAAATCATTTTTGTATTCGACGTTTATACCATTTTTTTTTATTATTATTCTTTAAAAATCAGGATCTGACAGACGCAGAAACTGTAACCATTCAAATTCGACATTTGAATTATTAAGCGCTGCGGCCGAGCACATTTAACTTGTTCGTGTTTATAAATTTTGCTAAGAATGCTGTATGCCTATGGGGTGTCATGAGAGGGGTGACACCATGAGTTACCGCACCGGGTGACACCAACCCTAGTGACGCCACTGACGCGAACGATTCTCGCGTTTACTATTTGTGATAGCAATGCAGGGCGAAATGGCATTTTCTACCGCGAAGCAGATACGTTCAGTTGATGTTGCATCTTTTTCGCGGAGGCCTTGGTACACCTTTTCTTCAACTGCACTACTTAAAAGATGCACGGTGCAGTTGGCGTACGTCCTGCAACTAACCTCTTTTCCTTCTTCTTCAAGTTCATGTACCTCTTGGAAATTAGGAATAGATGATAAAAAATTACAAATATGCAGAAAGGGAATATTAAATTTGAGGCAATGTTTATTACAAATAAATTGATGTAGTACATACAAATTATAATGCATTATAAATGATATATCAATACCTCGTGCCGGCGAATTGTTTTCAACAATTGCAACACTTTCATCATGTGATGCCTGAGTGGCTTGCCGTTGTGATTCATCGATGACATCAGTGTTCTCTACCTTCTGCAAAAAACATTGTATATTAATTATATTACCTTGCAGTATCTTTAAGATATCATCTCTGTTGCTCCGGACAATTGTTTGGTTATCATGCAACCACTTGGCTAAGGCATTGTTGTTACATGTTACTATGCTCTGTAGGTTCTGCCTTGGGGACCATTTTCAGTTAAACCTAAAAAGCATCTATTCCTCCGCAATAAGTCATGCAATCTGTGAATTTCAAATTTTTAATGTTATCACTAGTTTTGTTACATTTTCAATAGTGCATTTACCGCTTTCGATTATTGAAGTTATTTTTTTGCTTTAGGCTCTTGCAAGCTTGGCCAAACCAACCCTGTTCATCCAAACTAGACTGTATTTTAATAAAAATGTTGATTCGTTTAATTTAATGAATAATATGCATTGCACAGTAATTGAACTATAGTTCTTTAACGCGTGAACATTTAAATTTACAAAAAAAAAAAAAAAAATATGTTTTTTATTTTAGCTAAAAATTAACAAATACTAATGCAATCGCAGCAAAAAGTGAAATTTAAAAATTTTAAATTGCAAAAAAGATCGTGATGACTAAAATTGTGAAAAGTACAGATCAATATCGCTAACTTATAAAGTTATCGTTTAACATTTATTTTTGTGGCTTCGTATATTTTTTAGTTATAAAAAAGTAAACCTTTAGTAACTTTTCTCTGTCTATGCCACTTTTTTGGACGTAACTCACGAATTTTCAATAAAAGAATCCATATCGCAAAACCCGCAATTGTAAGAAAACTAGTTTCAAAAATTGTTTTGAAAAAGCCGCCTAGCAAACAAGCGCTGAAAAAGAACTCTGTATAAAAGCGAACTTCTACGCAACAAATTTTAAATTCACTCATTGATAATTTTTGTGTTACCAAATTATGAAATTATGAATTTAGATCTATTTTTGTTCTTATTATATATAATTGTTTTTCCTTGCCGTAATTATGTGTATTAAACAATTTGTGTGTATAACAATTATTGACATTATATACGTTTCAGTTCAATTATACACGTTTAATTACATTTCTATTTCCATGTTAAGAAACCACGTTTTTCATTTCTATGTTGGCCATTTTGTTACTTGCTGTCAAGGTTAAATTTATAAAACTGTTCGAGCAATGTCTATTTCGTTGTTTGACGACAGTTATGTGCGTAGGATGGAATTTTTTTTAAAAATGAAAAATGACGTTATTACTCACGGTAATAAACGTTTCATATTAAAAGGAAAGCCTGGTAGGAGGATCGGAGGATTGATTAACTTCTTCCGGAAGCATACCATTCCTATTGAAACAATAATCCTTTACATCGGAGGTTGATTCATTTGTTTAATAAATAGTTTAATGTTGGTTCATTATTTTTTTAATATAATAACAGTTTTGTTTAATTTTTAGTCATTAAAATTAAATACCAGGCAATGATTTGGCGACTGAAACCCCGGAACTCGTGGCCGCGAGATATGAATCCTTACTCAGACTGTTAGAGAACAAAATCAGACCGCGCCGAATAATCATATTAAGCCTAGTTTATAGAAAAGACGTTCAGAAATGGAAAGTTGATAAACTAAATGTTTCAAAAAACAATTCCAGTCTAACATTGTTCATTTCTGGAGGCTTGACAGAGTGGGAGGAGGTAATAATATAGAACCTGACGGCATCCACCTAAATGAGCGTGGAATGATGAACTTTAAGAGAAACATCATTTATTCTCTAAAGTGCACGAAATAAATTTTTAACGTTTTTATTTGTAATAAAAAGTTTATAAAAAAATATGCATTGTTGTTTAATATATCTTTGTATATACATATATTATATATGTACCTATATATCCATTTTTTTTATATAAATCTGTTTGTGTGTGTGGTATGACTTAATTACTCACTTACTAAAACATTTATAACTTTTTTTATTTAACGTTAAAAAAAATTGCGGTTTCAAAATGTAACAAACAAATGTCATAAACAAACCCCAATATCGAAGTTGATTGATACACAGGTTGGGGTTGAATGTTATTAGCATCAAATATCATTACAACGAAAAAGAAAGTTATTAAATATTCACCATAAAGGTTAAAGGTTTCTCTCTCTTTTGCGTTTGCTTCAGAGGTTTCAACAACAAACACACACAGCGTATATGAATACGCGTGCAAACCACGTATCATACACATTGCATATGATAGGCGGGGATCTCTTTGTATTCGAACCCAGTCAATGCAATAGCAAGACCAAGCGTCTTTAACCATTGAGCCATCACGCCATAGTTATGACAAATGAATACTTGGTTTCGTCGTTTTCTCGTTTTCAGGTTTAACTGATTTGAAATAACAGGACTACTCTTTCGCTATTTCCTGTTCCAAAATAACATTAAAAATTTGTCGATTACGTTGAGCTGTTAACAATGGACAAATGCCTCCATTTGACAAATTCTGATGTGACGCAGCATCAGAAAAATAAAACTATTGACGAGCAACGTCCTGGATTGAACGTGCTGTTTCACTGACGGTATTTAATGCCGAAACATAAACATCTGGATCGACGCTAATCCGGTCCGTTTTGAGATGTAATTTTTATGTCACCTTTGGCCAAAAAACAATGAAGGAAGTTGAGTCATCAACTACCACTACGTGTGAAATTAAAACAATTTATATTAGTATAAATGTAATTCTTTTTAGAGAAGCCAACAAAAAACGGGGATATGGTACAAAAATTTGTAGCAAATAACTCGTTTAAAAAAAGAAAAGAGTGCCGCAAATTAAAACACGAGAATTAAAACATGAACATTTCTTTCGAAAGTAACACTAGAGTTTAAACATGCAGAATAATTTTAAAAGTATTTTTTTTAATTTTATTCCGTTTCAAAACATAATCTGAAAAACATCTAAAATTTAAAAAAGTCCAAAAAGTACAATCACGGTATTCTATTCTGGTATTGCCATTTTGTGTTAATCAAATTATAAACTATACTACAAGCAAAAGCAGGAATGACGTTGTAACACAACAGATACAGGAAACTTCAAAACTGTGGTGCACTTAGGTTGTTTGCGAGATAATAACAAGGACCAAAAACTTCCATAATTAAGTCCAATACTTCTTTGCAGTTCCTGTTTAATTCACCGAGTTCATTAAAATTAATTTATAAATCAAAGTGTAACACAATTTTAAAATATTCGATAATATACTGTACAATTTTTAAATTGTATTATGATGTCAACAAAATAATATATAGAATCTTATACTATGCACCTGCGTCTCGAACCGTTATTTTCGTTACCAATCGACAGAGATTTAAAAATAATAACGGTAAAAAATATCTCGTATCGTTATAAAACAATACGAGAAATCTCGTATCCTTTAATAACAATACCAGAGATCTCCTATCGTTATTTAAACAAGACATTTTTAGGAAAGTCTATCATATCGAAATAAAAAGTAAAAGACATAATTTTCGTCTCGTACCATTATTTCAATGTGTGGAAATGGTAAAAGTGCACATTGTAAAAAAATAAAGTGTTATAAAGTATTAAAACTTATTTAATTTTTTCCAATTGAATGACTTTGGTTTAATAAAGACTCTAAAAATATCGTATCGTTATTAAAACGAGACATTCTCCAAAAAGTCTCGTATCAAATAAAAAATACGAACAAAATAAACTTTTCTTTAATTTTTCAATTGAATGGCTGTTTTCTGGACAAAATGACTGGGCGGCGTGATAGTCTAATGGTTAAGGTCGCCTGGTGCTGTTTCGCAGTAACCGGGTTCGAATGTGACAAAAATATCCCCGCGTATCATATGCTTCGTGTGTAATGCGTCGTTTAGCACGATGTTCATTTACGATGTTTTGCACTCTGTTGAATCCTCTGAACTTTGGAAGAGTGTAATTGACCTTTAACTTTTTTCTGTTTTAATACAGTACATTTTGTAAAGCGGAGTTGGCGGGAAAACAACTAAGGGCAGACTGTAAATGTGCCAAGCGTCATTGTAATTGCGCGTTGTTCAAATACTATCTTTCAAAAACTCAAAAATCATCATACAATTTGTGCACATACTTGTGCACATGATTTTATTATATCAATATATAGTCTTCAATGCCTCGTTATCGTATTGTTATCGTATCGTTATGTATCGTTTTCAAAATAATAACGAGACGCAAATTCTTATGTAACAAAATTAATTTTTAATAATTCCGTGTATTTTCATTAAACGAAAATTTATTAGATCAAACCGTTCAGCCGATTTGACATGATTGAGTCCGCCTGTTAGATACGCTTCATCGTAGCCGATATCGTATCGTTTCCAAAAATTAACGAGACGCAGATACTTATATAATAAAATTAAATTTTTAATTATTCCGTGTAATATTATTAAACGAAAATATATTAGTTCAAATTGTTCAGCCAATTTGACAATATTGGTTCCGCCAGTTAGATGCACCAAAACCGTCGCGAACATTACCTTTGTATTGTTCAGCCAATTTGACAATATTGGTTCCGCCTGTTAGATACACCAAAACCGTCGCGAACATTACCTTCGTCACATCAGCATGAATCCGAATGTACGATTTAGCTACATTAGTACATTTTATAAGTTATCTATATTAATATGTATGATTTTTTAACGATACGTTAATTATATATTATTATGATTATATAATACTAATACAATACATTTTCTTAGGATTATAAATAATATAATAATTATATAACAAATGTTGTATGTTATTTATTTTGATAGATAGGCTCATAGTTTGTAGTTGTGGATAATAATTTTGTCCCTTGGTGCAAATTGTTATGTTACAGGTGAAATTAAGCGACTGTTTAGATTAGCATTAGACATTTTGTATGTGTATTGTGTTTTATATAATAACAAATATAATAACATTGTATTCTGTACTCAAATTTTTTTATTTAATATTTATTGAAATACATTATAAAAGTGAACATTAATAACATTTTCAGGTCTATAAAAGAAAAATGTGATGAAATTTGTTTTAAAATAAACTACAATAATTTAATATTTAAATATTTAATTTAACTATACTTAAATACTAAAATAAATTTGCATTAATATAGCTTATTTACATTATTATAGCATTAATATTTTCACTGATTTCAGATTTTAAAATAAACTACAATAATTTAAATATTTAATTTAACTATACTTAAATACTAAAATAAATTTGCATTAATATAGCTTATTTACATTATTATAGCATTAATTTAGAATTTATCTATTTAAAATAAAGTTTAGTTTTTCACATGCACATTGAGTAAAATTATAAAATTAATTAATTAAGATATTAATTATTAAAGATAAAAGTTCATAAAATTGTGAAATGAAACTAAATTATAAACATGCATTGTTTGGATTGGTCCTTCTATCTATCGGATTTACTACATTTGTTTTCTTCTTCAAAGGTTACTCTGATGCATTCTTCAGCCAATATTATAACAAAGTTAGTTGATTTTCATCAAGTTGTCATTATAATAAACATTAATGGTACACAAATTAAAAATTTTCATTTTTATTGCTTTATAATTTTATATTAAAAATATATTTTAATCAAAATGTAGGTTAGTGTTGAAATTTAACCTATTATTGTTATAATTTGACACAGTCTAAAGTTTATGGAAATTACAAGAATGGATTTAGAATTAATAAAAATTCTTCAACCAAAAAATGGGTTGTAATAACATCAATTTTCAAACCAACTGATGCCATTGGTGTGTTCAGCAAAATGTCTGGATGGCAGTTGCTGGTGGTTGGAGACAAAAAAACTCCCGCTGATTGGAAGTATGTAGATAATTGTGATAATGTTTAGGAATAATCAAAAATTACATACAAATGTTTTATGCAGCATATGTATATCCCGGGTTTAAAGGTAAATGTTGGTAGGACCAAAATTATGTGGGACGGAGAGGATTTAAATACTCTTGACTGTGTTAAATTCTCTTGTGCGGTGTATGGTAAAAGAGTCGGAGAAAATTCCTTTCTAAGTGTAAAATATGATAAATAGACACAATCAATCAATCAATTAGTTTATAAAGCGCTATTTCCGCGATGTTCAACAGCGCTCCTCAATGAATTTTGCAAACACATGGGTCTTCAGACCCGCTCTGAACTTCGTAAGTGATGGAGAAGTAGCCAGAGAAGGTGGTAGAGCTCCAGGGAAAAGGGCCAATAAAGCAAATGCAGATTTAGCAAAAGAGTGTTTAGCAAAAAAGTGTTTAACACAAGTTAAAATGTAGTGAAAACAAGAAGACGATCTTAAACTGGCGCATTTAGGCTCAATTAATATATCTGTTAAGTACCTAGGAAATAATTTAGATTGAGACTTATACATAAATGTGCAAATTTTAAAAATTATTCTATATTTTATAGGTAGCCAGTGCAAGAGAACAGGATATGAAGATATATGAGAAAAGAAAGGGGCACGAGCAACTAGACGAGCAGCAGAGTTAAAAGCTTTACTTAAAGGATAGAGTATAGAGTCAAGAAGACCATAGTAGAGCGAGTTACAATAATCAATCCTAGATAAGACTAACGTAGTAACAAGAAGGAGAAGAGAAGGATCGTCAAGAAAAGGCAAATTTTTTTATTCAACCTAGATGAAAATAAGAACCAGCAAAACTATTAATCTGAGAAGAAAGAGACATGCTAGAATCAAAGATTGTTGTTGTATAGACGTTTTAACGCTGCTTCTGCTCCCAGCCCCGTTGCTATGATGTGCCATTGTCTGTTTTCATTGGAGTGAGTTGTTAAATACTATCATAATATCTTAAATCTTTAATGAAGTTTATAGCAGCGATGATGTTTTCAATGGTTTTAAAATTTTCGGATATATTTTCAGAGATATTTTCATATATAGAATATTTGAATATTTCAACTTTATATTATAACTTGAGATTTTTCACATGAGAAGATATGCCATATTGTTAAGATCTTGTGGCAATGTTGACAGACTGGAGGATCCGTTTTGTTTACTAGGTAATGGTGCGTTATGTTGGTATGTCCCATAATTATTTTATATAATTTACTGAGTGCAAATCGATTATTGCATATTTTTGTATTTCTTATTTCCGGATTTGGGTATATTTGTCAAAGTAAAGTGTTTGCTAGATTCCATTTGCTTTTCCATAGAGTATGTACATAATCATTTATTAGTAACTTGAAGTCTGAATAAGGGATGGGTATGTCTGATATTAATTGACTGGGCTTCTAGTGCTAGAACGTCAATTTTTTCATTACCTGATATTCCGATGTGACTTGGAATCCAGAAGAATCAACTTTTTCATTATCTGATATTCCGATGTGACTTGGAATTCAGAAGAATTTAATATCACATTGGTTTTGCATTATAAAATAACTTTTTGCTTTAATTATTCTGACTAAATCATTTTTTGTTTCCTATAGATTGATGGCCGTTGCACATGACATGCTGCTGATGTGATTCTTGCAATTTAGACCCATCAGTATATATGATCGTAGAGTTTTTATGTTTCTGCAGAAATTCATAAACCATTACTTTGATGATGTTGTGATCTGTCATTTTGTTAAATTTAGTTAAACTAGTGTTGACTTCAGGTTGATGTAGACGCCAGTTGGGAATAATTTGGGATATCTTTTCAATTACGTTAATATTATATAGTTTGATAGTATGTTCCAGTATGCGTAGGTTAAACGGTTTACTAACCTTAGGTTTTTTTTATTGTAGAGAACTTTGAATATTGAAGGAAAGATGTAGAGATAAGAGAAATTATAATATCTGGATTGGAACATGTTGTATAAAATCTTCCTTAGAGCTAGATGCATCTGAGATCAATGAGCACTTCGATGGTTAATGTTAGAACACTAATTGTAGGAGGATGTTCTGTGAACAAACATGCATCTTCTTAATGAACTGTTTATAATGGAATTAAAAAATTTCATGTACGACGTTCTTTTTCCACCATAAACCTGCAATCCATAATCTAGTATTGCTCTAACCATGGCTCTGTAAATCAATAGAAGTCTGTAATGAGAGAGCTTTTATTAGGTATATGGATGTCATGCATTTGCTATTAGCATAATAGATGTGAGGTAGAATGTTTAATTTGTTGTCAAAAATTAAACTTAGAAACTTTATTTGGTTTTCAAATTGAATCTGCTTATTACCATATGTTAATTTAAAGTAAACTATGTCTCGCTTCTTTGAGAAAACGATAGCTTTAGTTTTGGAGCTCGAGAAAATGATACCGTTTTTGTAAGACCAGTCAAATATATCATTTAATATTGCGTTTATTTTTATTTTTTTTTCAATATTTTCAGTGCAGTGATTTTTAAGCGCTATCATGACGTCATCAACACAAAGGTATTTGAGGACTTCAGAAGGAATAATATTGACCAGGCCGTATATTTTAATGCAGAAGAGTGTTACTGATAATATGCTTCCCTGCGTAATCTCCATATTTAGATCTTTTGATTGTGAGATTATATTATTAAATTTGATTTTGAATTTTCTATTGTTTAATTAAAAACTGTGAAATGAATAAGGGAAGGCGACCCCTCAAACCAACTCAATGCAAGTCTTTCATAACACCATATCTCCATGTTTTGTCATAAGCCTTTTCTACGTTAAAGAAAATTGCAAATCGCCTTTTTTGCCCTCATTATTGGTTAGAGTATATTACCTTGTTGATTTCCAAAAAATATGAAAGCCTTTGATGGTTAATTTTTTCAAATATCTTGCATAGTGTATTGGTCAATGATAATGATAGCTTGTTGGTTCACTGTTTGGTTTTTTGGGTTTTGATATTGGAATAATGGGTGCTTCATGCCATTCATCAAGTACTGCAGAATTTATTCAGATATGATTGAATGCCACATTTATTGCGATTAACGATAGTTCTGGTAGTTTTTTCAATATATCATAAGTTATATCGTCGAGTCCTGGAGATAAATTGTTACCTGAATCTGTGAAATATTTTATTTCTTTTAACGATATTAAATCATGATAGAGATCATCATTGTTGGATTCAAAATTTAGGGGGCAGGTTTTTTCTATTTCAATGAAATTTATGAATGATTTGATTTGATTGTTGAATGCTGATGTTTTCCTAAAGTGGTCAGCAAATATTTCTGCTATTTCTTCGTTTGTGTGATAACTTTCACTGTTGAAATCTAAATTATTAAACTATTTTTATTCATTTTATTTAAATTTATTAAACTTTCTGAAAAATGCACAAATCGGTCCCAATCTATTTTGTTTATATTATTCTTTTCAATAATAGTTAATTTGAGATTGTCATATGATAGAATGATTAGGAAATGGTCACTACCATATAAATAATCAGCTCGTTTCCAATTGATTTGATAAAAAACTGAAGGAGATGCAAATATTAAATCTAGAGTTGACCATGTTTGTGAGTGCATCTGGACATATGTAGGTTGAAGAGGTTTTATTAAGCAAATAATATTTTGCAGGGAAAATCTTTCAATGACATTGCCATTATTGTTTATTCTATTACTGTTACATATTTTGTCATGTGCATTGAAATTACCTAATACGATGGTTGGTTTAGATAAACTGTTAAATATATTTTGTAACTTGAGTTTGAGATCATTTATCTTGAGAGAAGGGTTAGGGTTATTGGTCTGTCGATGTTCTCATTGATTGTACAAATTTGGAAGTCTGAGGAAGTATTTATTTGAGAATGCGAAATTTTGTGATGAACAAATATAGAAACTTCTCCACCAGGATTTGTGTCAGTTGAAGTGGCAGGTATGTAATATGAAAAATAATTTTTTATGTACAAGTTTTTATCCTCTGTTAATTTGGTTTCTTGTAAGCAAATGATTTGGGGATTATATTCTCCAATTAATATTAGTAGTTCTGAAATATTACTTCGTAGTCCTCTAATATTACTTGAATTATTTTAGCATCATTATTTTTTATTTATTGTCATTTATTTTGTAATTTATTATTATTTATTTAATAATATTGTCATTTATTTTGTGATTTGGATTTGCTTCTACTGTATTGTTTTTGATTAGTGATAATAATAATGTTTTTGATAATAATGGTTTTTATATCTTCTTTATTGCTATCATCATCAGATTAGAGTATGTATTGAAACAGTTGGTCCTCTTGAGTTAGTTTTCTTGTTATTCGAATTGTTTTCTGAGGAGACCTTATTTATATTACTGGCATATATGGAATTCTGCAATGACATGCTTATTAAATCCCATTGTATGCTTTTATCAGACATTATTTTATTTTTAGTTTTAACTATACCTGCATGTGCATATGATGACTTAGTTTCTTGCTTTAAAGCTCTTGCTTGGTTAAATGTTATGTTATTTTTATATTTCTTCAGGATTATCTGTTTTTCAGTTAAATATTTTTGACAATTTTTATCAAACGTGAGAACAATGAAACCATTATAGCTTTTCTTGTTTAGTCGATCTTGAGAGTGTTTATGCCCTGGCTCCCCACAATTTGCACAGATTGGATCATCTTTTTTGCAAATTTTGTGATAATGTCTATTTCTTTGGCAATTAGTACATCTAGTTGGAGAAGGAATGTACTTTTCTACTTTTAGTACATGATAACAGACTTATTTTTTCAGGAACTTCAGTGCATTGAAAAGTGAGGATATAAGTATTTGTATTTATTTTGTTCCCATTTTTAGTAATATTTACATTGAAAATATCACTTACTCCAAGTTTTTTCATCTTATTCTTTAGCTCTTCTGAAGTACAGTTTTTAAACAAACTAATTTTTATGACTTCTTTTGTTGAATTCAAATGTTTGTGAGGGAAGCCCTTTACTTTGTTTTCCAAAATGTTATTTATTTGGAGTATTTTTTCTCTTTGTTATTGGTCATTTATTTTTAAAAGAAGCCTGTTTGCTTTAATTGTAAAAATCTTTACTTCTCCAAGATTTACCTGAAGAAATCTGTGTAACTGAAATATTGACATTTTGTTCCATCCAACCTCATTAGCTGCTTCTACTGTAGAAAACAAAAGAAGTGAATTGATCTGGTTATCAAAGTTTCTTATTTCGACATCGTCTTCTAACGAAGAATATTTAGTTCTTTCATTGTTCTTCCCTATTTTTAAATTAGTAGATATAGATGTTGGGTAATAGTATCAAGAAGAAATTTCGGCTCCGAGGTCTCGCTACCAAAGTAGCAATATTTAAACGGTTCGGAGACTGGTATTTGTTGTTATCTCAAGGCAGGATAAAACAGAAACGCAAATTCGGCAAAAAAACTCTAATTAGAAGACGAATAATTTTAGAACCATCTATTATCGCTTACATTCAAGAATCTTCAGAATCAAAGATAAAGCCTAGACTACAAAGCTTGTGAGAAACATCAAGAGTTTTAGAATCAGGTAAGATAATAGAAGAAATAGTAATAGAGTGTTTAGATTTATTTAAACAAATTAATTCAAATTTAGAAAGATTAAGTTTAAGACACATAGAGTCAGACCAAGCGATAGTTGAAGAAAGACATAGAGATAGATTATGAAAAACACTATTGAGATTAGTGACACACATGCAGTGGTTTGGAAGGAGACATCAACAAAAGCAAGGAATGTGTAAGAAGTTGCCTGTAGTATTGGTGCGAAATTTGGGCTAGACGGCTGAACACTTAAAAAGACTGAAGATAAAAAATGCAGATGTTGAGAAGAATAATGGAAGTATCCTTGAGGGATGGTCTAAGTAATGAGGTAATAAAGAAAAGGTTAGGGATAGATAAGTTGTCATGCAGTGTGCCGGAGTCTGTTGAATAGTATCCGACTCCGGCCTCTCAAAAAATCCGACTCACGACGATTTCGACTCCGGTCCCTTAAAAAAATCCGACTCCGGGTAAAAATTTTTTACTTCTGACTTTGACTCCGGGTTCTGAATTCCAGAAAAAAATTTCAACTTTTCCATCATTATTTTACCTTATTATCACTCCTAATTAAAGGATACTCTTAAAATACTTAAAATCGTTAAATGTAATTGTTTTTCTTAGTAAAGCTACCTTATTTTTATGATTAACAACATACTGAAAAAATATTATCACTACTAAATAAAAAATACTTTAAAAAACTCTTAAAATCAGTAATTTAAATTGTTTTTCTTAGTAAAATAACTTTATTTTTATGTTTTAAAACATACTGAAAAATTATTCGATTTTGCTAACATTATTAGCATTTATTTTCAGTATTAAAAATGATTGCTTATTGATACATATATTAATCCTTTAAAAACACAATCTTTTTGAAAACATTTTTTTTAATAAATAAAATTTAAAATAAATAAAACTCCGACTCCGGCGCCTTAAAAAATTCCGACTCCGACACTGGTTGTTAGATGTAGTGATATTAGAATGAGATGGTTTGGTTATGTGGAAAGGAAAGTAAATGATGACTCGGTAAATAAATGTATAACTATAAATGGCGGTTTAATGAAAATTGGAAGGCCAAAGCTTACACCTGGGAGAAGTGTTGTCAAAGGACATAAGGGCACTGGGCCTGAAACCGACTGGTTCAGAATAGAGAAGAATGAAAAAACGGTTAAATGTGCGTGATCATGAGACAGGGCTAACCCAGAATTTTTGTTAGCCAACCCTGGAACGAACACTGCACCAGCACCAGCATGAATGTCAAGATAACGATAGCGATCATCAAGCCCTGTTCTGCCTCCCAGTGTTGAGCGCCTACTAACGTACTTGATGATGATGTATATAATCACTGTAATTTAACACTTCATCACATCTACGTTAATTGTTCGTAATTAAAACTACCTATTTTATTCTCCGCTTTTATCTTTTTCATTATTCTCAGTTTTCATTGCATCGTAAGTACCGAGTTTATAAAATCTATCGTAATAGATCTTCAGCTTCCTAACAGTTTTAAAATTCAATTTCGTTCGTATACACGTATTGCTTACCCCTTTCTTTATGTACTTCCTTGGATCTATTTTTTACCTTACCAACATATTCATTTCGAGTCCTAATAAAATTAATTTCGTTACTTTACTGCGTCATTTTCGTAAAAAATCTCCTTCTGTATTCTGTGGCAGATCCAGAATTTTGCGGTAAAAGGATGATTTTTTAATCCTAAAGCTGATGATTTTTATGCTAATTTCTTTAAGTTTCGTTTATTACCGAGGAGATGGTTTTCAAAATTTTTAAGTCATTGTCCTTTTTGCTAAATTTTCATTTCATCTACATACTGTCACCAATATTTATTTTATATTATTTTTATTTACTCTTACTAAATGTAACTTATACATTTTATATTTATAATTTATTTTCATGCATGTTGTTACTTTCTCTGCGTTTGACAGACTTGCAGAATAAATAAAATTTAAACAGAATCTTCGATATTTTCTTCTTTTATGGTCAGGTGAGGGGTGCATCCGTCACTGTCTCTACTCCCATCTATCAATCAATCTTCGTTTTGCGTCCAGAGACCCGGTTTCCCGAGGTAGGACTCCCATCTAATGGTGGATTTTACAGAAAATCTGAGGTGCCGCGGGTCCCCGGTATCAACAGTTCATCAATCACTTTTTTGTAATTGTTTTTAAATTTATGCAACATTTATTGTTCAAGTATTTGTAGACATTGTTTTAAATAGCAAAATTGACAAAAAGTTGTCCGTTAAGCAACATAAAACCATTTTTAGGCCCCCTCACACAAAAAATTTGTAGTTTATGGACCCTTTCAAAGTTGACTTCCCCGTCAAAACTGTCTGGATCCATCCTTTTTTCCATTCAAATATAAAGGAAAATCTGGGCTATATATATATGATTTTTTGTGTGCATTTGCATGTGTGCAATTGGGCATCTCTGTGTTTGTGAATGTTGCATACACAAAAAAATCTTTAAAAATCACCTAATTATGTGGCAATCATGTTATACTAGAATATTAACCGATGGATTATTTTTAGATATCCAAACGTGATTTATCTTGGAGTAGAGGAACAAAAAAGCTTGCCCTTTGAAACAGTAAAATATGTTCCATGGAACCGCTACACACGCAAGATCATTGGGTATTTGTTTGCTATACAAGTACGTTGGCATTCATGTAATCAATCAATCAATCAATCAATTTATCAATCAACCAATCAATCAACCAATCAATTAATCAAATAGTTTATAAAGCGCTATTTCCGTGATGTGCAACAGCGCTTTTCAATGAATTTCACAAACAGATGAGTCTTGAGATCCGCTCTGAACTTCGTAAGTGATGGAGAAGTAGTTTAAAAAGGAGGTAGGGAGTTCCAGAGAAAAGAGTTAGAAAAAGCAAACGCAGATTTAGCATTAAAACAATTAACAGTAGTGAAGAAGAAGTGAGAAAGTGAAGACGATCGTAAACCAGAGCGTTTAGGTTTTGCTAATAATTAATATATCTGATAAGTACTTAAGAAATAAATAATAAATTATTAAAAAAATAATGTGCAAAATTTTTAAATTTTTCTACATTTTATTGGTTGCCAGTGTAAGAGTACAAGATATGGAAATATATGAGAAAAGATATGGCCACGAGCAAGTAGACGAGCAGCAGAGTTAAAAGCTATACTTAAAGGGCGGAGTGTGGAATCAGAAAGATTTTTATATAATATTTAAAAATTTTACGCAAAGATTGAAATAAGCGGGAAACATTTTTAGTTATTTTCATTTTCCTTTTTTATGAAAGTTTTTGAAGTTTGAAAAATGTTGCGATAGTTTGAGAAAGCTTTAAAATGTCAGTCATTTTTGCTATATCGTATAATTTGTGGAAAATATTTAACTAGTGGACAATTAATTCAGTTACTCCGCTCTGCACTGACTTGGTTTGTTCGAATTTAAACAACATTCCTAATATCATATTCCCATGTATATCCTATTTTGGTCATATGTATAAATTAGGTAAACTTAAATTAGGCAAATATTAGAGGAACAATTGAGATTGCGATGATATATTTTGCTTTTAAAAAATAAAATACATCAAGCTTCATTTTACTCTTTTGTAACAAAAAATCAAACAAACAAACAAACTGACTTTCAAAGAAATTGTTTAATATGTTTAGCAAATTTTATTATTCATTTTTAATAGAACGGAGCTGAATACATTTATGAATCAGATGATGACAATGTGCCAAGCCAACGGTTGACACTTTTCTCTCAACTTCATCCTTACAGACTGGTTGTAAAAACTGATAACATAATTTTCAATCCATACGCTCATTTTGGTCAGTCATCAACGTGGCCTCGAGGTTATCCCTTAGATAAGATTGGACAGCCAGTACCGAGAAATTACATTAGTTGTCCGACAGATCCCCCGGCCATCGTTCAGAGCTTAGTTAACGGAGATCCAGACATGGATGCTATCTACAGGCTCACTAGAAAATATTCCGATATTAGAATCGACATTAAGTTTGACAAGTTGTCTCCATTGTATATTCATCCTGTTGGTACATTTTCTCCTTTCAATTCTCAAAACACTCTCTTTCACAGACGAGCATTCTGGGGATTAGTTTTTCCAATATCAGTGACAGACCGAGCAACAGACATTTATCGATCATACTGGACACAAAGATTAATGTGGTTGATTGGACAAAGGATAGCTTTTGGACCAGCTACTTTCTATCAGAAACGATCAGGACATAATCTGTTAAACGACTTTGACCAAGAAAAACAATTGTATAAATACATGGGTGAGTTTATGGGGACATTGCAATATTGGAAATGTTCATCAAATGTTTTTAAAGAATGCATATTACAAGCCACACGAATACTTGTTGATGGAAAGTACTGGTCGGAAGATGACTACACCCTCATTAAAGCTTGGATATCTGATCTTATTCAGTTAGATCCAACACTTGTCAATCATCCAATTGTACCAACTAGCAATGGGTGCATTGCAAATAAAAGTTTTTCCTTGATATTTCATCCAAATGAGCAAAACACATCACTTCCTCATCACCCTTTAAATAGTATTCCCCCACTGGCAACAAACGAACAAGCAATTCTAGAACAACTTTCTCATTGGTGCAACTACACTATATCGTCGTCATGGAATTTAATCAACAAAAGTGGCAAAAAACTTTCCGATATTATTTTGGCAGTAAGTATTTACGAAAATTTAAATGAACGTTTACCCGTTTATGAATCTTATTTCAAGCTTTTTTTTGAAAAAATAATCTACTGCACAACTTTGCATCCAAGTGAGCAGTTCGTCAATAAATGGAAACTAACATTGATTTTTTTCAAAAAAGATGATTTGTCTGCGTTATCCTGTTTAACAGCTATCAGTTTATTAAATATAAATATTCGTGGAATTTTTCATTTAGGGGATTCAATGTGGTTGAATGTAAATCAAAAATTATTAACAAGAAATTTTGATTCAGTTTGGCTTCCAGAAAATGTTAGTTTTGGTTCTAAGTCTTCTCCAACCTGTTCTATGAACAGTTTCAAATGTACAAAAATTAATCCAGATTTGTTTAAAAAATTATCTTCCAGCAAGTTGTATGTTGATGACTTATCTTTTAAAACATCGTCAACTTTTTCAAAAATAATGACTAGTTTGAAAAGTTTGAGCAATAGGTTCGCTGTCGAAACAGAGTTATACGTGCCTACTAATTTTCCTGTTTATTTTCCCAAAAAAAGTTTTGAATTTTTGTATGTATTGAAAAGTATAACTTCAGAAGAAATGTGGACAAGTGTAAACCAATTGGCCGCTACATTTTTTGATATCCATATTAATACAACTGAACTTATGAAGAAGCGTCGTTCAAAATCTGATGATGATTTCGACTACCTTCCCTACCTTAATATTTTCAATGAATCGAAAATTCATTACTTGTGTAATATGTTTACTAGTAAAATAAGTTATTTCAAATTATTATAATTGCAGGCTTGTTTTGCGTTATTAGGTTACATAATCTTTATTTGTGATTTCAATGGTTTTTATGTAAATACTGTTTGCTCTCGTTTCTATATCGCTACTATGCTTATCAAAACGCATTTTAGTTGTTAATTTATAAAATTAGTAAGACATTTTTATTCTCGCTCCTGAAACAAGTTAAGCTAATTTTTTTCTAACGTTTTAGATTAAACGATTAACATTTTTTTTTTGCTATGTTCAGTTGAGTGTTGGGGGTTAACTTAATGTTAATGTTGATGTACGATTGATGTTAATGCATCTTCGAACAAATTTTTAATTCTTACAGTTCGTTTTTTGGCGGCATCAAATGATGCGGTCATTTTGCAGAATATTCTCACGTTTTTGAACACTTGCTATAAATATACGTTTATTTTTAATATTTTCATAAATTTTCTTTTAACATTTCAGCGTTTAATGGTTTGCTTTTTTCCTAATTTATAAAAATGATAGGGATTTTTATGATTTAAATCAAAATTAACATGCAACATCATAACTTTAAAAGTTCTAGCTAATAAGCAACCAATCTAATACCATGCATAGCATATCATTTATTTATTTGGGCGGCGCGCTGGTATAATGCAATGCCTGCAGTGTCCTGATTCGCATGTTAAGAGATCCCCGACTATCACATGCAAACGTGTGTGATGCGTTGATTCTCGTGTGTTTATGTTTATACACTGTGTGTTTGTTGTAAGATAACCTCTGATGAATATCTAAGAGAGAATAATAATAATAATATTTTCAACAAAGAAGCAAACAGTTTATTCGACTTGTACGCCAGCAAAAGTTAATGATTTTTTTAATACAAATAATATTTACATTTTAATTGTGTCGCCCAAAATTAAAGGAAGTAAACAATTTATCAAAATAAAACAAATAATCGAAAACTTAGATGTTGCAAATATGTGGATTGAGATGAAATTGATTATCATGTCCGGGTCCGCTCCAAACTTAGCTGGTTGAAGAATCCACCAAAATGACGAGATGAAACCAGACAGATTTTTATTATGTACATTTAAGGCGCTATGTTATGTATTATTTACATAATTAGGATGACTATTTTTATTTTTGATAAGAAAAAAAATTTCGAGCTAAATATAAACGTCATGAATACGATAGAGAATGTTTTGAAGACTCATAAATTTACTATTTGGTTAACTATGGAAGCGTTATTAATTGCTAAATGAAACCTATAAAGAGTTTAGTCAAAAGGCGTTGCAAAAGCGACATGTGAGCTAGCAGCTGCGTTGCTAATTCCAGCTGTTTTTCAAACTATTTTACAAATCTTTCACGATTTTAAGCAGTTGCTTCCAGAATTTGATAGAATGTCGCCATATTTTTTATTATTTATTTTGCGGGGGGAACCAAAATATTGCAAATGTTGACGGGGAGCCAAGAAACGCCAGAAACTTTAAAAATTTCAAAAGTTCATGGTAATGTTGCAAAAATTAGGCTGGCAACATTTTCTAAATCACGTTATGTTTCAGTTGATTTTCGACATAAGACGCTGTTTTTGGCAAAAAACTGAGTTTTACTGACTTATAATAAAAGTACTGTCCACAGCGGAGGCTTCCTGTTTTAGATCTGCCACTGAATGCAAATAAATAAATAAATAATTGAGAAGCACACAAAAATTTCAAAACCACACCCAATTTTAAGAATCTAATTACGTGGATTTGATGTCAATTCCGCCAGCTGCCATAGAGCTCTAATGACATTTGTTGGAAATATAATAATCGGTGGTATAGCCAAACATTTTCAAGAAAAGGACCTTAACGTTTTAAAAAAAAGTTGACGACATAAACATGCTTAATCTATAAAGCGCTTTTCACTGATTTACTTTTTCAGCTTGATATGTTATGTTATGATTTTGATTTTAGTTTTATTCAAGTGCGGTTTTTGGTATAATAGACAAATACGCCAACTGCTTTGGGGTGTCAACGCCCAACAGAGCATTTTTTATTACGAAAATTTTGCAATGCTCATATTTAACCATAAAACACCTACTAAATAAATAATTAGACATTAAAACTAAAAAACGCAATTCACTTTTAATTGGATAATGTGCAGTTACAATCTACTTAAACTGTGCAAATGTCCGTTCTAGGCTTTTAAATGATTAAAAAAATTAACAAGTTTATTTAAAAAATAATGAGTAGATAATTTATGAATCTATCGATTAGGTTATTTGTGAAGGGATGTTTCAAATTGGTTTCACAAGTTTTGTTATGTTAAGTTATTTTGTTGAAAAGTAACCATGAAGAAGCATTATTAAATCTAAAGATATTGTTAACGTTAAAACAATTGGTCTTTCAATTGAATCATAATAATACTTGAGCTGTAACTTTTTTATTCATATAAATACTAATTTTATAAAACGTTTATTTTAAGCAAAGTGAGGTAGATCACTATAATGAAGTTGGTTACTATTCAAGAAGCTTTCATAATTAATGTGTAATAAAAGGGCATGTTGTCGTGCAGCAGATGCGCTGATAGATGTTGGTCGAGCAGGCTGGAATAAAAATTAATGGAATTAATAGAAAACATTTAAACTTTGAAGTTAAAGATGGTGATGAGATAATGTACAAAATCAGAAAAATGAATGCTGCAACAGAAAAAACTTAAACAGCGAGCCATTTTTGTAGACGCCCATAGAGTGTTATTAATAATTGAAAAATGGTCAATGTACAAAATTATAAAGCGAAGTTTTTCAACTATATTGAAAAGCATAGATATCGAATATTCACAGCTCTTAAATGCATCGGCAATGATCGTTGCGTTACTAACATTAAAAGGTATCAGCGATATCAATGCCAAAGAAGTATCGGCGATATTATCGACGAGATACTTCGATATTAACAACCCTGACGAGAACACGTAGTTTTGGAAGTCGTCCATACAAATTATACAAAAACTGACAATTCATTTCATTTGACGACTTTTTCAAATCGTTTAGCAAAAGGTTTTCTTTGTCGAAAAGCATTAAAATGTTATTTTACTTTTATATAAAATGGGTAAAAATGTGCTATAATTACCTACTAAATGTAAAAAATACCAGACAATTATTCACAAGCAGCTTGAGTTTTAAACATTCATCGTAAAAATTCAAACACGGTTGAAAGAAATCAACGTCAGTCGTCATAACAGGTGAATAGTCATCTTATTCAAAATTTAAATCGTACTAAAATTATTATAACTTTCATATGTTATGTTTACTTATTTTGCAGTCAGCAATTTAACTGACTGCAAAATTTTAATTTAATTTAAAAAGATACAATAAGCAATGATAAACTAGATATCTATTTATTAACTATATCCTAACGTTATCAACATAAATAAAATGTAACAACTTGCAATAAGAAATGATGACATCTCCAATAAATAATGATAAAACGACATCATCTTTCTAAACAGTACAGCACAACAAACAAACAACAGGCAGAGAGAGCATTCAGACAGCTGCTTTCTATGGCAATCTTGCTTCCCTTCACCGTGCGTACACTCCACTATACTGTCCAATCTATGTATGGTTCCTTATACACTCATATATATTTTGGAATAAGACCGGCACGTAAGCAACTTTAATAATCAATCAATTGCAACTATATTACTAATTACTTTAAATTTTAATTTTCCTAATAATATGATGCAATTTATTATTTAATTTATTGACAAAATTAAAAGGTTTTAAACTGTTAATCTTGTTATAATTGTTATAAAAGTAACAAATATATTAAAATAAAAATAAATTAATAAAAAATATTAAATTAAAACTTATAAAATTAAAATAACATATTGGAAACAAAAAAAACTTTTTTAGGCAAAATAGCTATTATAAGTGTTAAATTTTGAATTAATATTATTAGAAAAATATAAAAATTACAATATAGATGCTTTCCATTCCATGTTAATTAATAATATAGTTACGATTGAATTTAAAACTTATTGCATGTGTGTGTGTGTGTTTATACAGTTATTAAGGAATATCACCGTATTTTCCGCATTGTTGAGTTTGTAACTAAGTTTTTCAATTTTTCGAACAATTATTTTATCGATATTATTCAATTTATTCAAATTAATAATAAAATTTCTAATTATTTAAGACTGCATTTTTCATATATTCCTTTAAATAAAAGCTTTTTTCAGTAACCTTTACCATCATCAGTGTAATAATGGTAATTGGTTATATATATATATATATATATATATATATATATATATATATATATATATATATATATATATATACTTGGCCTACTTAATATAAGATCTGTCAACTCAAAGTCTGATATTATTTATGAATTAATCCAAGAGGGTCTGGACATCTTTGTTTTAGTGGAAACATGGCATGGTTCAACGGACAATATTTCAGTAAAATCATCTATACCATCAGGATATCTTTATCTTGATTTTCTTTGATTAAATGATCTGCGGCATGGAGGAATAATTGTAGTTTTTAGATCAAACTTTAAATATAAATTTATTGATCTACCTGTTCTAACAACGTTCGAGGCTGTAGCTATTAAAATGATCGTAAATAATAAAGACTTTGTTTTATTGGCGTTATACCGACCAGGTTCGGCTCAAGACAGTTATACATTTTTCGATGAACTCATATGTGTTTTGGAAAATATTACATTCTTAAGTTTGAATGTTATTTTAGTTGGGGATTTTAACATACACGTTGAAATAAACAAAGATCGACATACCGTTAATCTGATTGAAGTGTTTGAAATGTTCCAATTGACAAATTACATCAATGAGTCAACACATGTTCTCGGTGGTACACTTGGTTTAGTAGTTATTTCACACAATTTTGAAGTTACAAATATCAGGTTATTCCCTTGTGGAGTTTACTCAGATCATAGCTTGGTACATGTTGACATACCAATAACTCGAGCATGTAATAACAAAACTTCAAGATTAGCTAGGTATTGATGAAAATATACTGACCATGCATGTTA